GCGGATCATACGGGGCAAAAGAGAGACTGTGATAAGACCTATGGAAGGATGACTGTGTAACAGTATGGCAGACTTTGATCAACATTCCCAACACAAGGATGAAGGGGGCTGAGAAGGCCAGAGTGGAGTGCGGAGGGTTCTCATAAAAGCCGCTTAAAAGGGCACACCCTATTACATTTAATTAAGCAAGTAAAAAATGTGACAGTGAAGGCGTGATAGGGGGATATAGGACATGTGAATAGGCTATGGCAGAAGGAGAGATACCACAACTGTTTAGCACACGTTTGGTCAAAGCATCGGCTTCACTTGTCTTTTTGACCAGTTGTAATATGGTGCTACGAATGGCAAGACTCACTGACGATGTCGAATACGATGCCGGCGAAACGTCTGGGAATGTACCACGTCCACAGTCCGATTTTGGAAATGATTATGCATACAATGGACTCAGGACAGGGTATCTTCCTCTAAGCCTTCCAACCAATATGACGAAGTTGCAAAATCAAGGTCAAACAACTTCTATACAACGAAAGGAGACTGCAACCACACAAAAGGTCACACTATTTTGGTCTTTATACCTTACCTTTGTATATTGTTTAAACAAACTCAGAGCAAACTCGCGACAACAAGGTATCTATAACCAGAGTAGAATGAATCACAAAGTTGAAACCGGTTGGGAAGATTCTAAAATTAAGAGAAGACGTTTTCGGTTCGCTCTCAGGCTGTGGAAACAACTTCACGGCCTGATTGTCACAGGACTGAGGCGATGGATAGTCAAAAACGCCACACGAATTCGGCACTATGGCTAGTAGATCGGAGGCAAATTAACCGCAACTGCATTCGAGAGTCTTCGGGAGACCAGAAATAGACTTTCATAGTTTGTTCAGAGTGCATGGGAATCAGTGACTATGCGCTCTGCTCGGTAAGACTACAGTATATGTGCTACCAATGGCTTGTGGCACGCCATGCGAAATTACGCCTTTAGTAAAACGTTTACTGTGACTGGGACCGAGTAATAGCAGTCAACGAGTAGGATAAGAAATAAATCTAGAGTACATTAGGAAGATTGGGGTAGCAGGTGTAGGTTGGGTCAGCAATTTCAGCAAATCCAGAGCGTATATAGGCAAAGTGAATCGGCAGCCGTGATAACGCCCCATTAGACTTTCCAGCAAGTGCACAGGTCTAGATATTTTGATTATAAACAAGCAAATGTTGTGACAGCGAGGCTGATTCTGATTATCATCAAATTGCACTTGTCACATAGTTGCTCTTTGCCCCTCTTAATTCATAAAGTAAACCATTCCTGCTGCTCGTTGCTTGAATCCAGTCTTCTAAATTTAGCCGTCTAAACCAGCATTATTGCAACTGCCTCTAGACTAATGCTCAGTCTTAATCATTGGCACTTCCGACTTGAATTTGGCCTAGACAGCTCTAAAATGTCAAGCGCCCAAATATATCTAAACGACGTCCAGGGTCCTGTGCTGTTAATATTCTATGATCTAGCTTCTTTATATGTTACGATTTCCAGTCTCTCCGACAGACTTTCTGCCTACATACTTATTTGGTCTTTATAGGCCTACATCTAACGAAAAGATACTCTCCTTCAGAATCAACTCATCAAATGCAATAAAAAAGTTAACCAGATAAAAATATATGTAAATCAAATTATTCAGTGCCCTACTCTCAGCTGTATAAAGAGGACCAAAACGAAATAACTAGATTACAAGCTAATGTCTCTCGAGTACTGGAATATTGGAATTTGTCTTCTCCCATTAGCGATGCAGGAGCTGAGGCTGAGGTAGGAATTGTAGTAGTGTGGATGTTATGTACTAGATAGGTCAAGTTGAGCGTTGCTACATCTGATCGGAGCTATTTACGATTTAGGCACCCGGTACCTTTAAGGTCGTTCGGGCTGTCGATTTTCCCTCAGCTTATGGCTGAGACTAGTAGCACAGCGACAGTTTGATACGTGAATGTGAGTTGACGCACACAGTTATCCCTCCAAAGGAAGCTTCAGCCAACCATGATCCCGTGCCAACAAGAAGCAAGGCTGTTAAATTCGATGGAAATATGAAGCCCAGTCATAGCATTGTGGGAAAATTCAACTACCAGTTCTTCAGTACCTTAAACGAAATATGGTGAATACAGCTCTTATGCCAGATCCACTGATAGTCTCGAAAATCTGAAACTGAAAAAAGGAGCTTATATTTCATCTGTGCATCTCTCCTCATCATTACTTGTGTCCACTCCTCGTAATTCGATGAGCAAGTTCAAAGTCATATTGAGGCAAAAATAACTATTAAAAATATTCAAATTTAGTTTAGATTTCTCACAAAATCCTTTTGTCTATTACTAGCCTTCTTGGCAGTTCCCTATTGATGCTATGGATCATTAGTTAGTTTACTCCTCCAATTCGAAAACTGGACTGCTCAAAATTATTCCCGCATCGGTCTTTCGGCCACAAATTGTCTTCTAGCTACCATGCATTTCTACCATCTGTATCAAATATTAACAATCACTCTGATTACACCCAGTGATTTTCTATTTGGATAATGATATCAGTTTCTTTAAATGCTTTCTTTTCATGCGGAACCAAATTCTATCTACCTATCCATTTTTCGCCGATACTGCCATGAATAACTTGCCTGTTTGGCCATTATCATTAATTGTTTACATGTATAATCTGATTATTTGTATTTACTTTGTTTATTCGATATAGTCCCTTAAGCTTCCTGGGCCTCAAATACTGGTCAAATGGCCAAACGACGTTTACGTGATCGATCAGCCGGGCCACACTTTCGGCCGGTGCCCCACAATTTCCCAAGAGTCTTTCAACCCTTCCGGACCAGTTAATTCTAGCAACAAAAGCGTTGGCAAAAATAGCCGTGGTCCTTCTACATCATGGCTGAGCGAAACGGAGTCATCATCGCCCGAGGCTAATCTGAATGGAAAGCTAGCCGGAATACTGGTTCGAGCCAGTGTGAGCAGTCTAACTGATACCAGTGGCAACCAACCGAATGGAGTGCACCATATCGATTGTCTGATTGGTGCCGGTGTGAACGTCTCCAACAGCCGGCCTACAGTCTGTTTACATGATATTATCAAGCGAACTAGACGAATTCTAGCCTCAAAAAATCCTGGTTATATGGACAAAGTGAGCCGGCCTTTTATCCAAGCTTCATTTGGTCTAGCTGCAACTCTTTGCAGCTATATATATATATATATATATGAATTTTGGTAAGTTAGAATATGTTTGACCTTGTTTTCGCAACATGGTCATATTGGTAGGAAGACTTAGAGGAACGCACCTAGTCCGGAGTTATTGTATGCATGATCAATTTCCAAAGTTGAACTGTGGACGTGGTACATTCCCAAACGTTTCACCGGCATCGTCAGTGAGTATCGCCAACAACTCGTCAGAGACAAGTGAAGCCGATCCTTTGACCAAACTTGCGCTAAACAATTGTAGTATCTCCCCTTCTGGCCTAGGTTATTCGCGTTTCCGGTAGCATTCAATCATGCCTTCACTCTTATAATTTTTACCGTGTTTATTTAGATATTGTGGTGTGCTCCTTTGAGCGACAGGGCACTATCATATTCCAACTCTCGTTCTCACCCCACCCCCCTCATCCTTGTGCTGGGAATGTTGATCAGAGTTTGCTTTATTATTATGCAGTCCTCTTCCCTTTTCTTATCCCAGTCTCCCTCCTGCTCCGTAAAATCCGTCTGCTCTACCCCTTGTTCACCTATTTCACTCGACTCCTGCCACCACATCTGTCCTACTCGAGGCGTTTTTCGCCCTCCCCTGCGTCTGAGTGACTAATTCGAGGCGCAAGTCTCTGAGTGTCATGGTCACCCCTTTGCTACATGTACCACGTCTCTGGTACAACAGACCTACCGTCACTCAACTAGCTCCGGTCCCCGCCGTCTATCCTGCTTCTATCCCTAATACCAAGTCTATGATTTGCCATGCCCTAGGATCACGTCTATTGTTAGCCAAATAGCTTTAGTCTCCACCGCGTCTTTCCTGTTTCTATCTATCATACCATGACTACCACTTCATATGTCCTAGTCTCTTGTGTGCCAACCCACAAATGTCGTGGTTCTACTTGTTTTGATAAGGCTCACTGAAGATGTATCCTCTTTGCTTCTGATTCTTCCTTTCTCGTCCCCTTGCGATCTCTTTTCCTAAAAGTAATGATATTATCTTGTTCCAGTCGTCTTCTTTTTGCTGATCTTCCTGTTGCTTGGCAATATGAAAAGTTTTCGCAGATCCTGCCTTATTCAAGACTGCTGTTTATTAGATTTCTCTCAGTCAATATATCAATGGCCTCTCGGATCTTGCGTTTTCTCGTATTTTCACCATATTCAGCCAACCTATCGGTCGAT